AGACCAAGATAAAGCAATACCTATGCAACAAGAGTTGTAGCTTTTGGGTTTGATAAGGCCAGTGAAATCCCCTCAGGATTTATCCTGAGATCCCGTACCTCAGATTGTAGAACCTTTGTCAATGTCAGCCATGTGGGTGAGTCACGGCCATTGCTTGGCCAATGCCCTATTTCTTTTAACACACATAAAATTGAAGTAGATAAGGGAAAGTCAAATTTAAACTAAAATACAGTACACTTTTCCCTTAAAGATATAAAGAAAAGGAGGTTAAAAAGTAAGTAAATGAAAGGAGAAAGGGAAAGGGAAGGGATAGAGAGAGTTGGGTAAGGAATTTTTTTAAATGCATTGTAAAATACAACTTTGGAAAAGGAGTTTCTATAAATGATTATTTTGCAATGCAGAAACCAAATCTGAACAGCATATATGGCATGTGTCAGAGAATGACAGCCCTCAGACCCCTTCCTTTGCAAAGTCTGCAGCACCAGAAACAGCAAATCATTAGCAAAAGTTCTTTCGCTGGACAGTGGCCATGTTTCATCAGCAAGTGCTCTGACAGTAGAAAGCCTTGTCAGGATGTTGAAGAGAACCGAGAGATGGCAAAGTCCCTAACAGCCAGAAACAGGTAGTTAGAATTTAAGAGAAGCCAGCTATCTAGATCTCCGCCCCCCTCGTCATTAACAATGTCTTAGACCTCTAAAGCTCCAGAAGTATAAGAAATAAGTCTTTTGTTTAAGTCACCTAGTCTATGGTATTTTGCTGTAACAGCCCTAATGGTCTAACACAGACTAGAAAGAGGAAACCTTACTTATGAGTGGTGCCTGGTCTAGAGTTACTAATAGTAGCTGCAACAATTGTTTAACAATTGTTTAACATCCATAGCCATGGGTTCCACTCTAATTTCAACATACTCATCTCAAACCCAGTTTCTATACTTACATATATTGAATTACCATATTACTAGCACTAAGATATTTTTTTGTACTGGGAATCAAACTCAGGACTTTGTACTTGCCAGACATGTACTGTGCTGCTGAGATATATCCCTGGCCCCACTAGCACTAATATTAATAATAGGAGTCATTCTAGCCACTTGTTATTGCTAGCTACAATACTAAGTATCTAATATGTTCAAGTCATAAATTTCACAATTACTGTAGGGGTCAATACTCTGATTACCACCATTTTTTGTATTTTTAAGTTATTTTAATTGATACATAATGACTATGTGCATACATTTATGAGCTAGAGGGTAATATTTTGGTATCATACAATGTATAATGACCAAATCAGGATAATTAATATATCCATCATCTCAGGTACATCATTTCCTTGTGTTGGAACTATTCAAATCCTTTCATCTACTGATCATGAAATATACAGTAATTATTAGCTATACTCATGCTATTGTGTCATAGAACACAAGACTTATTCTCATTAAAATAAATGTAACTTTATTTTTAGAACAAGTCTCAAGTATCTCTCTACCACCACCATCCCCTTTCCAACTTCTGGCAACAACTTTTTATGAGATCAACCCATTTAGTTTCCACGCCTAAGCAAGCACATGTGGTATTTATCTTCTGTGTCTATCATCACCCTTTTAACAAAGATGTTAAATAACTTGCATTCAGATCCCTCAGAAAGTACAGTGCAGCTGTACTGGGTCTCAGACAGTCTGGCTCCAAATCTTAGTTTTTCAACCAGGGCATGGTATGGTACAGATATTTTACAGGCACTTCAAAATCACTACAACAAAAACAGTGCTCTAATCCACCGTTCTCTGATTATAACAAATATATCTTGCTGCACCTCTTCTATATTATTTCCATGTTAAAAATTCCACAATCAGGGTAAAACCCAACACAGAAGTTGTAGAACATCCAGCTCTCCAAATGCTCCTTAATACCCCAAGAGACTTGTGCCAGATGATACCAATGAACTGCTTCATGACTCTCATTTCTGCCAACTCTTTTGCACCCATTATCCTCTCAGCATCTTCCCCTGGATTGTCACATTTTAACTGGATTCTCTCTTTCCTATCTCCTTCAACTGCAATTCAACCTCCCATTCCCTGTAGTACAAATTTGATTACTGTATCTTTAGCTTAAAGTTCTTTTATTAAATTTTTTTAGCTTAAAGTTCTTTAAAACTTCCTGATAGAAGAAACTGAAACATTAGAATACCATGCACACAAAATCCCCTCTGCTATGGCCCCTGACGACTGTGATCCTGATGACTGTGATCCCATCTCCTGTCTCTACCCAATGTTAACCCCTAGCTATATCAAATTATTTGCTGCTTCACAATTTACCATGTGTTCATTGCATGTTTATGCACAACCTACACAATTTTTGTGTTTTGAGTTGTCCCTTCCAGTCCGGTCTAAATTCTAGCCAATCAGAAAACTCTTACTAACCCTTCAAGATCCAGCTCCAGCATCCTCTTCTCTCAGAGTTTTCCTTGACACCTTTCCTAGAGTTGATTCTCATTGTTACCCTATCACTGTATAAAATTCTCCCACTGTTTCCTCTAAAAAGCAAAACAGGGCTGGCAAGATAGCTCAGTAGACTAAAGTGCCTGCTTAGGCAAGCACAGGGACCACAGTTTGATCCCCTGCACCACATGCTATGTCAGCCCTGTCCACAGGGTGGACTGAGCCAGCCACAGAGTTCCCGCGTAGTGTCATAAGCCTGTAATCCTAGCATTGGAAGGCTGAAAACAGGAAGATCACTATGAGTCCAAGCTATATACTGAGGCCCTGTAGCAATCAAATACATTTAAAAATAATAATAAATAAAAAGCAAAACAGAAAATAGAAGTCCTACCAAAACAGACCGCTAGGACAAATGCAAGCCCAAAGCAAGAATGCCTAGGAGTAGGTAGGGTCAGGCCAAATCTTCCTTAGAAACTCCTCTGTTGCTGTTCTCACTTCTACCCTCACAGTCACCTCTGGACACTTTCCTCTTGATAGCAGTGAACATAGACTGTAGGAAAACCAACATCTTATTTCCCTGCTTTTCACACTCATTGCAAAGCCTACAGAACTCATTAGGTACTATGTTGATGTTGTACAGATGTTGCCTACATCTAAATGATGCCAAAATGCACAGTGAAGTGGTAAAGAAAAAGCATCATAAAACCAACTGGTTCCATAAGCCAGCTGGTGAAGTAAGGTATAAAAAATTGATTATGGCAATCATACAGTGTCAAATAACTTGTCTGGCTTTTTGTTCGTGTGTGTGTGTGTGTGTGTGTGTGTGTGTGTGTGTGTGATGTAAACTCAGCCAGTGATCGGCAAAGGCTATGTGTCCTGCAATAATACAGCCAGACAACATAAGCGAAAACATTACACTCATTTCTATGCTAATTCAACATAGGCTGGGCTTTGGAAAATTTCTGCAACTAGACAAGCGCCTTTCCCCTGGGACTTGCATTATAATCTGCCAGAGCAGGCAAAGTAGTACCTGATTTGGTTTTATACTTACCTTTTCCCAACTGCCCCATTTGGCACATATCTTTCTAAATTCCCTTTCTCTTTTCTTCATCAGTCTTAAAATCGTCTCTAAACAGACTGCTCTATTAAAAACATATTGCAGCCCTCCTTTCCTGGACTGATAGAGTCCTATTCTAGAGTACAAAGGCCCAGACCATCATTCTCGGGTTTTGAAAGCGTTTCATACTTCTCTTCCCTCATCCTTTCCCCTCTCCCTGGGAATCAGAGAAGCACCGCACATAACACCAGGACTGCTTGACTGCATACTAAGATTTCAGCTGGACCCTGCCCAAATTCCGCTGCTTTTTATTCCTATATGCCAGAGTCAGGCAGACCTAGATTTTCAGCTTCTCTTGTACTATTTATTAACTATAAGGTCTTATATAAATTACTTAACTTCTAAGAAATTATCTCTTCACCTGAAAAAAAGTGGATCTAATAATGACAGTCTGCTGGACTCACGAGGCTGTACTGGGATCCTCGGGCTAAGCAATCTCTCGTACCTGGACCGCAAAGGACTCGGTGAACCCTCATCCCCTTCCTTTCCCTCTGCAACTGCATCCAGTTTGGGGATCCTCCTGGGATCTCCGTCACACTCTGAGCATCCTCACTCCGGCTGCCACACAGGCAACCTCACTTCTGCGCTACCTTTAGCCTCATCCCTTAAGTGTCAAAAACCTGTCTCATGTTGAATTCAAGGAAGAGGGCAGTTACTCTATTGGAAATCACTGACATAATGCCTCGAGTATATTGATTACTCACCCACTCACGCATACTCTTTGAAGATTCGTGGCACTGAGTACATGTTTGAGCAACATTTTTACTTTGCATCCTTTTGTTTGAAAAACTAAATGCTAAATACATTTATGAATGTACTAAAGTACATTATAGACACACAGATACACGCATATATAAATATGAATACATTTTCAATTGTAAAAATAATAAATATTTATTGAGCATTTGCGCTGTGCCAGGCGCTGTGCCAAGGTGGCCCAGTTAATTCTCCATTAATCCCCACCCCCAGCCCCAGAGGGGCTGTTACAATCATTATCCCTATTTTATAGCGAGGCAACTAAAACTTAAGGCAGTTAGGTAAGTTGGCCGAAGTCACAAAGCAAGTTAGATTATTAATGCGCTCAAAACTGCTAAGCAACTCAGCGCACTGACGCGCTTGCGTTATAGTGGAAAGCCCGGCGGCTGTGGTTTGTCTGCCTTCAGCGTGCACTGAAGCGCACTGCTGAGCTCCAAGCCGATAAGCAGGAGGACAGGTGTGACTTTAAGATGGTGGTGGAAGCTGTAACCCGAGGCTTCCTCCTCCGCGCCTGCCGCCCTGGGCCCGTCCGGGTAACTGCACCCCGCCGGCGCGCACTCCCGCCCGGCTGGGCTGCGCTGGGCGCCTCTGCTTCCAAAGTTGGAGCGCTCGGTGGTGGGAGGGACGCGAGCGCCGGCCGTGACGTCACTCGCCCGGGGATAAAGCTCGCCGCACCCCCGCCGGGACGCTGTCCCGGACCTAGCTCGCGGACTCCCTCGGGACCCCCGCGGTGCGAAAGCCGCCCCTCGCTGCGCCCCTCTGCCCCGGAGCCAAGGCGCCCCACCTAGGGCAGGAAGGCAGGATGCCCCAGAACGTGGTCCTCCCGGGCCCTGCTCCCTGGGGCTTCAGACTCTCGGGGGGCATAGACTTCAACCAGCCTTTGGTCATCACTAGGGTAGGTGCTTTCCTTTCTTTGCTTCGAGCCGGGGACTCTGGCTTCCGGAGAGGCGCGATGGGAGCTGAGCAGTGGCCGGGCACCCGGGAAGGGCGGGCAGGACCTTGCGCTGGGGGGTCCCTGTTACTCCAGGGACAACAGCGATTTGACAAGATAAGGTGTGGAAGATGCTGAGCAGTTTATAGATTTAACAAAGTCAACCCAAAAAGTGCATCCGCTTGCTCCCCAGCGATGCTCCGAAGAGCGGAGCGTTGTTCTTCTGTAGAGAAAACTTCAGCAAGGGCGCTGTTCGCAGGGCACAACCCTAGTTGGCCAAGTTGGAACTGCTGGTATCAGCCCAGACAGGGAAAGTATTACTAATGTGTGTTTCTGGGTTTCCAGGCATTTAAGATAAACATTTTCCAAAGCTGGGAACTTGGCTTCGGAATCATTACCTATAACTCAAAGTACAAAGAAAACGTGCCGGAGAGTTTAGTGTTCTTGACAAAGCAACCACTTAGCCTAATCACTCTGAAAACAATACTCTGATACTAAAGCCAAACTTTTCCTTACTCAGTGTTCTCTAAAGAGAGAGAGAGAGAGAGAGAGAGAGAGAGAGAGAGAGAGAGAGAGAGAACTGTAAAAATAAAAGTTCAGTGTTTCTCTCCTGCCAGTAAATTTTGAAGTTAATTCTACAGTTTTATTCAGTCTGGTTGATATTTTTTCTAACACAAGTATATTCCTTAATAGAAAATTATTATTTCAGTTACCACACAGAATATTTTAAACCTAATTGAAAGGCACTAATTTTCAGAATATTATACTTCGATTTTCCAAATGTTATTCTTTTCCTTTTTCTTCTGCTTATTTTATGTATTTTCTTTTGTAAATGCATACTTCATGATCCCATCACTTGTAGGTTTTGATCAAGATAGTACATTTTAAGCGCCGTTGCATTTAGGAGAGTTGAGAACAAACGACGTTCCAAAATATCTTGAAGGTGTATCATGCAGACGCATACCACAGAGCATTTGAAGCTTTGTTTTACATTTTTCAAAAACATATAAACATATCTGATGTGTATTTTCACATAAAACATGAAATATTAACATAGCTCCAAAAATGTTCCTAAGAAAATTAAGCAGAAAAGGCTTTCATGACCTGGACCAATCAATTTCTTTTTCAGATTTTTCCAAAGAAAACAGTTTCCATTATCACTTCAAAGAAATATGTTGTTTATAGAGTGTAGTTTTCATTTGTCTATATTAAATGAAATAAGCTTTAAATCCTAATAAAGAATAAATCATATTTAGATTAAATCCTAAAGAAATAATTTTGTCCCAAAAACCTTTCAAGAAACTTACAAAAGAAATATTTTTGCACTTCCTGTGTAACATGTTGGTATAATTAATCATACATTTGAAATTTTGGGTTGTTGATGTTATAACCAATGTTTACTTTGAAGCAATACTGCATCCTTAGTTGAGCTACAGAAATTATTGCTAAATCTATCTGGTATAATGACAATTATTTCAAAGGCAAATTCCATCTTGAATTTCTAATTCATATCTAATTTGTCACTAATTTGGACATTTGATTCAATAGTAGTAAGTAAACAAATATGATTATTTCATGTGAGTATGCCTATTGAGTTATTGTAACTCCAGAAGAGCCACTAAAACATACCTGATTTGTATGCTACGTGTTCCTAAAGTCAGGTACATCACAGATGCTTGATGAATAAATGCATATATATTCACTTGAATTATTATGCCTTAGTGAATAACTAAGAATATTAAGAATATGTCCATTGAAACTATAAGAGTACTGAAAATAATCTAGAAGAAGATCAAAAGGAATCACTCCAACATAACTAGTATTGCCATTAGAAGAATTACCATACTTAAAAATTTTATATTATCCTCAAGTGTCTAATAGGTTTTAAGTGTGTAGTTATACTCTATTGTTTACCCTGCATTCTTCTAAGTCCTTCACATTCACTAGCTCACTGAAATCTCACAGTCCTGTGAGAATGCCCTTTGGCAAATGAGGAAAATTGGGGGCAGGATGCACAGCAGCCTGTGCATTAATTTTTGTCCATTGTCTTTAGTCAAGATTTCATAACTGCACACTTAGACATTTATTTCCTCTCTCCAAATCACCCTGCATGTTCCTAGCATCCATCTTTGAAATGGGCAGTTTTCCATGTCTGTCATTCTTAAAAACCCTTTGTTGACATCACCAGATTGCGACGAATAAAATCTGTGGCCTTCAGCGTAGCATTCATGGCTTTTTGTCATCTACCCCAAGTTGGCCTCCCAACCTCATTTCTGCTTTATCCCTTCCTTCTGCCTCCCTTTCCTCTCACTGTATAGGTGAGTAGTTGTGCCATACTCGGTGCCACTCACACGTGTCCTAACATGTCTTTGCTCCTGAGCTAGAGATCACTTTCCCCAGGATTCGTTACCTATCCTGCCCCTGTTGTCCTCCATGCTTGTGGAAATCCATTCAGCTACTATTCTCCAAATCTTCCTCTAGTAAGAGTATGTTCATCTATGTCATTACCAAAACTTTTGACCTGTCACCTCTCTTATTTATCATGCCTTGTGGTACATATGCTAAAGTATCTCTGTGCCACACTAGGCTGCATGCTACCTGAAGGTAGGAATTGTCAATTTCGGGGCCCACTAGGACAGTGTAAAATAATGCAGACATAATGGGAATGATTGACTAAATTCCTCATTTTTTTGCATAACTTTATTTTCATAAATAAATACAAAGGTTTGCTCTCAAAAAAATGCCACAATAAAGATAAATGATACTGGTTGGTTTGGTTGTTTCAGGTAAGTTCTTAAGCACTCAAAGAATCAAAAATCAATGTGTATACTAAACGTCACAAAGTGTTCCCATGAAATGTTATTTCCTCAGGTCAATTATGTCAGCTTTGTCCTGATACAAGCTGTCCTTCCTGCTTTCCTACACAAATGCAGACTACAGCAGGTCCCCAACCAGTGATGGTGCTACTTTGCAATGATACGAAAGCAGCACACACTCAGTACAAACCATGGGCTACAACATGCAGCATGAGATGCCTGTGGGCCAGTGGTGTGCATGCCACTGTCTGGCTGCTAGGTACCAGCAGTTAGCCACAGTTTCCAGTCAGCTGTGGGCTCGTGAGAGTAAACGCCCAGACTCTGTACCTCTATAAACTATAACGTTTCATAGGCCAGGTGTATTAAATGCATTTCAACTTACAGAGTCTTGAACATTGTAAAGAAGTAGAAGTTTATGCAGACACAATCTCATTGTAAGTCAACTCCTTGTGACAGTGCAACTCCAATCAAAGTTTGTGGGAAGGTACAAATGTAAATCTCTCCATCAACTGAAAGTGAAGCTTACAAAATTAAAATAGAAGGTCTCTGTGCATAATTAAGGCAAAAAGTGTCTGTCCCACAATTTTTCACAAACCAATTAGCCAGCCAGGTGAAACTTTGAATCATTTAAAAACACATACCCATCAAAAGCAAGGTAAATCAAACTGCAGACACTAGAGGTTCTTAGCCTATAAGTATGCTATATTTTGTGTGTGAAATATTTTATGTTTCAGATGTTCAGTTTAGTGGAGGGAGTAGTTGTTTCAATACCATATAAATTGTCCAGAGAACTTTATGGAGTAATATTTAATGTTTATGTCCCTAAGTGAGCTTTTGATTTCTTGTGAGAAGATTCTAAGACCTCTCTCTGTCTGTTTCTCTCCTCTCCTTCCCTCATTTTTGAACTATACAAAGAGTAGATCTATTCCTACAGGCAATTTTTAGATTATTTGCTGTCACAAAGTTCCAATATTGAATATAGCACAGTCGTCTTTTGTGTGCATGACTTTCAATGATTGTAGATATCCCATGCCAGTGAATCTTTTCTTCCTTCTTTCCTCCTCCTCCTCTTTATTCTTCCCTTTTTCCTATTTAGAGCATACTGAGGGTCAAGATCATTATAAGTACAAATGCCAAACGTTCTTAGGTACCAACATGGAAAGTATAATTCTAGTTGGTTTCAACATAGAAAACTATAGTGCTGAATATAAATCATGCTTGAAATTTGAGCTTTTAGAAAAGAATGTTTACATTTGAATGCAGTCCTTTACCGGCTAAAACAAATGTCATATAAATGTTGATGTGATTGAAAACTTATATGTCAGTGTGCAAGTAAAGATTGTATACAAGGATGCATCGATTTATATATTTGAAACACTCATCCATCCACCAAAGATCTATGATATGCAAAATAGCCTGTACGTGAAAGGCTCTGTGGGGGTACTACTACGACTAGCTGGATTTCTACCTGAGAAGGTCATCAGTCAGTATCACAGAAAAGACATGGATATTAACTGCCACACTGCAATCTATACAGCTTCTGCCTGCAAAGCATGGCCCTAAAGATTGGAGGCTGAAAGAGCAAGCATCTTCCAGAGGGACACCCTGGGCTAGTGGAGGAATACCAGGTGGGAATCTTAGCTTTTCACTGGATGTGTGACCTAGGAAGTTTCTTATACTTAATTCTGAGCATCAGTTTTCTCATCTTAAAGTAGAGATAACTATTGTACAACACAGTCTTAGAATTAAGAGAGAGAATAGTACTTCTCTTAAGAGGTAATAGGTTAATAATATACAATAACCATAAAATAATAGTTCTCAGGCCATTCTACACAGGAGAATCACTCAGATAATTTTTGGAAATACCTAAGCCAGGGTGCATGCATACTGTACTGCAATGAATATGGGAGATAGCTCTAGAAATTGCAATAGTGATTAGGTACTGAGTAGTTGTAGATTCCAGGTGAATCATGTGGGGTTCATTGGGTAGACAATGGAGAGTAAATCAACAGTGGGGTTTCTCTGATTTAGATCCATGCCCCCAGCGAGTGCTTGGCTTGCTCATAATTTCAATCATTTTATTTATATATGTATTTACTTACTTTGAAAATGATATTTTGCTATTTTACCCAGGCTGGCCTTTAGCCT